GGGGGCGGGGGTGGGGTAGGGAATTGTCGCTGCCTGAGTGCCCAGCTGAGTGGCGCTGTACTGGGAAAGGGCCAGGGGGTGGGGTGGGAAGAGGGTCTTTCCACAGGCCAAGGGTGCTGATAGGGGCTGGGGTGGGAGTAGGCTGAACTTGGGCACTGGGAGAACCTAGGCCAGACCAGCACCTGGCTCTCCTCTCCTCTCCCCTTCCCCTTTCCTCTCGGTCCCCACTCCCCACTCCCTTGCAGTGACCTTTCCCCACATCGACTTACCTTTGCACGGATCCTGGGTTTGGAAGGTGGGGGATCCAACCTCACTGTCATTAAATGGATTCTGACTCACGGTGACCTTGTGGGACAAGATAGAACTTCCCCTGTAGGGTTCTGAGGCTGTCCTTCTTTGTGGGCAGAGAAAGCCTTGTCTTTCTCCTTTGGGGCAGCTGGTGGATGTGCAGCCCAGTGCAAAATCATCGTGCCATCAGGGGTATGGCAAATGTTGGGGAACTTGTTACTAAGACCAAACATCTAATTCCAACCCAGAAAACTTGTCCACAAAAAAAAAAAAAAGAGAGAGAAGGGAAAGTTGTATTATGGAATATGCATTGAACCAGAATATGATGCATCCCAGAGAATCTGCTAAAGAGAATGCAAAGACAGAACGCAATCTTATTCTTTATATAGTGGAGTGCGTGCAACTCCTGGCCTCCGTCTGTGCTTAAGATAGCGTTGCTCATTTTTCTGTACCTTAATGCAGGGAACATCGAGGTCGGGGTGTGAGCTTTCGTGATTATTTCATTTCAAAAGAAACAGTTGCCAGGTCTCTGAGGAAATGTCCTGGCTTTACACCACTTTCAGAAAGGCAACACTTAGAATTACAGTGAAAACCAGAGGAGTCAGAATTCCATAGTATCACCTTGCATTTCCCCCCCAGGTCTCTGTACATTTTCTGCATCTGACAGGGTCCCATCATGGCTTTTCTGTTACTTTCTACTTAGTGAGAAATCTTTGCATTTTCTATCTCTGAAAGGTTCCCAGCATACACAGATGCTGGCTTTTGCAGGTCTCACTGTACAAGTGATTGAACTCAAAAAAAACAAATAAACAGGGGAGGAGGGAGCTTTTTCCTTATTTTCAACAGGCAGAGTGAAAACTTTTCATTTCAATTTGCATGTTACTATAAAACATGACAGTTCTTAAAAAGATGTCTATTGCTGTTTCACTTTCCTCTGAGCAATTTTCCACAGTTTTTTGGCACATAATCCATACAATTCATTTGTGCACTCATAGCAAGAAGAATTGTACAATCATTACCACAATCGATTTTAGAACAGTTTTTCTTTTTTCCACCCATGATTAAATCGCCTTTAAAATGAGTTGTGTAATCACATTCAGTTGTAGTGCTCCCTCCCTCTCACCTTCATTGTTTACTCCCCAAACCCGCTCACCCTCCCATCTCCAGACACCCTACACCCCCACCTCCTACAAACCCTGGCATCAGTTAGCATCTCTGCGCATCCACTCCTGTGCTTCACAAACTGGTAAACCCGACAGAAACAATCAAGAACAAAACTGAAGTAAAGTGGTAAGGATGAAACAATAGTAATACAAAGATAAAAATACAAACGATGAGCAAGAAAGGAAAGAATTTTTGTCATGTAACAACTCTCTGAGCAATTTTCAACGGAGGAACTATTTAGCAAATCCATACTAAACTGCAGAGCAAAGCAATTGCCAGTGTTGGATTACCTAATATGCAATGTAAGCACATACTTACTTGTGCTTCCTTACCAAGGGTAGAGAGCAAACTGAAGCTTTTATTAAAATTAAGTAGTTCATTGAAGGAATAAAATCAATCCAGAATCAGGACTCACCAAAGTACGAGAGTGAAGGGAATTTTTCACAGAGCCTAAAGACAGAAGATCCAGGAACGTATAAGAAAACAAAGAAACAGCTCTGCTCCCGCTCCACCGATCCGGCCGCTGCTCCCCGCCGCCTGACTCGATCCATGGCCAACAAAGAGAGCACCTTCATCCCCATCAAGCGGAAGGTGTGCAGCGCAGCCTGGCGGGTGACATCATCAAGCGCTTTGAGCTGAAGGGAATCCACCTGGTGGCCATGAGGTGACCGTAGTTAAGGCCTGAGGAACACCTGAAGCGGCACTTCATTGACCTGAAAGACCGCCCCTTCTTCCCAGGGCTGGTGAAGTACACGAACTGGGGACCCATGGTGGCCATGGTCTGGCAG